TTTCATTATATTAGGTTTATCCTTATCCTATATCTAGCAAGCAATAGAAAAAAAAATAGGAATAAACGATGGAAAAAGAAAAGGCTTATTATTGGATTGCATCGACCAATTTTTGTGAAAATTTTTTAGCATAGATTTCTAGTCTTAGTTTTATCTGATGCCTTCTTTGGCAAAAAGAATAGAAGATTGAACATCTTTTAATAGTAACTGAAAGTATAATACTTATGGCCAATGACACACTATGACATTGCTTAAGAAGGTCTTAGGTTCTGTCTAACCTCTTTGTGTGTTGCTTCTTCAATTTTTTAATTATTTTTTATAATTTTAAATTGAATTTTGTTTCCCTTTAGATGTATTATAGTAACGCTATTAGCCAAATTTAGGGACTAGTAATTTAATTGTATTTGTAAACTGTACTGGCTATCTAAAAATGTGTTGTATATGTTTTAAAGATCTCTAATTAATATTATTTCCCTCAATATAATTGATCTTTATGCATAAAGATATAATGGTTTTTCTCATCTTATTATAAAGGAACATTTGTTGTTGGATTTATAGATTGAGTAAACTGCCTTTGAATATGGTAGATTAAATATGAGATGGAATGAGTTTGGGATCTTTGTCTTGAGGGCATAAATTGAAACTTAGTGATTAAGAAGGATTAACAATTGCTTTCAAAATAATTTAATATAAAAAAAGATTATAGATTTTTGTTTGGACCATGGATAATGTTATAACGATAATGGAAAAGATTTTGCCATTGTGATAATAGGTTTAATACAATCAAAATCAAATAGTAGCACAACTCTATAATAATTAAAGGTTTGAAAGTGCACTTGTGGGTTGAAATCATATATAGTAATGTACATTATATATTTCATTCATAGTAAATAATAATAATAATAATAATAATAATAATATAGCTAGTAATTACATTGTTAGGAATCTTCTGTGACAATCTTTTCTGTTGCTTAACAAATATTTAAGAGCAAAATATATTGAAATCCATAGTAAGGACCACAATTTAAATTTGTACACATTTATTTTAGATAAAGGTTTAGAAAATAGCTTGTCTTATTTGGAGAAACATTGTCTTTTTGGATATTAACTTTGGTGTAGAGTTTATCCTATCTATAATCTGCTTATTTTAGAGATTTGTGAAGCTTATATAGTACACTATTAAGGATACAATTTGATGATTAATATTTGTAACCTTAAAAAAACTGTTAAGAGACATGGTATTTCCTTAGTTCTAAGGATTGAAGTTACCAATTACAAAAAAGGCTCTGTCACGTTACATCCCTTATTTAAAAAAGGCATTTCAATAAATCTCTTTTTTTATATTTCCTTTATTTGTTACAATTTATTCCCTTTAGTTTTATTAATTCATTTAAGTTTGGAGTTACTTATGTTTTACAAAATTTAATTGCTTTATTGATGATTGATTTGTATTACAAATAGTATTTAAATAGGAGGAAAGGGTAAAGATGTTGATGATGCGAAAGATTGGCTTAAAGTAAGGGAGGCATCATTTATTCATCTCTTAATTTAAAAAGTAAGAGAAGGAAAGTTGCAATCATTTACGTTTAAGAAAGAAGTATGGTAAGAAATAAATAATGAGTTGCATGATACAACTGGAGTAAATTATGGAATTGAAATATTAAAGGATTAAGTTCAATCGATTACATACAAAGTATCATCATTTTTCTAAATTAATTAGATGACATATTGGAGTTAAATGAGATGTAGCATCCAATACTATTAATGTAACACAACAAGTTTGGGAAAATTTTTTTAAGGTATAACTAATTTATATTTTCCTTTTATCTTATAGATTATAATATATATGTAATTATCTTATACATTTCTTTTTTATGGCATAGAAAAATAAAGATTTCAAAAAATTCAAAAAACAAGATTGTGTAGATTATGAATTACTTGGTGAAATATTCAACAAAACAACTACAACTAGAAAACTTCAACAATTATCCATTAAAGAACCATTATCTCCCATTAAAAAAAGGTGCTTGGAAGAAGAATTTTTATTTGGTACCATGCATATTGATTTAGGTGACAACAATTCAGAAGGTGAAGAGGATCAAAAAAGTAAATGCGTAATATTCATTTAATTCCTGGTGAGCATCGATCTAGTAAGGTGAATAAAATGGATAAAATGAATTTATTTTTGGAAAAGTGGGCTACTACATTGAGTGCAAAAGAAGAAGTTGATAACACAAAAACTAAAAGATACAAATAATCTACTAGTGGTGAAAGTACCACTTCTATTTTTTTTTCTTATCCTTATTCAGTAAGTATATGCATAGGTTTTTTGGAAAAAATGGAAGTTATTTCTTCATGTTCTTATAATAAAGCAATAAAAAAATTCACATTAGTAGAATGGAGATAAATTTTTGTTGAAATGTTTGACGTGAAGTGAAAAGATTGGGTCGATTGTCTTGCTTAATCTTAGTTTTTTTTTTTTTATTTATCAATAATTGACTTCTATTTTTACGTTATATAATAATATTCTAACATTTAAATGTGGAATGTACGGAGTATGTAATAATCTTTTATTATTATATTATGAAATTTATGGTTATTGAATGACTAATAAATATTTTTTTACTTTGTTATAGTAACTAAAATTGTTATAGCAAGTATAATGCATTAATAGAACATTGATATTCAATATTTATGCAGGTAATTACAATGAGTACTAGCTCTAGTTCAAAAACTTCGTTTGATTTAGATGATGAAATGGGGTAATTTATACTTATAAATTCTATGAGTACTACAAGGCCATCTTGCCTAAGATGCTATGTAAGACTTCTATATTAAGTGAAAAGGCATATGTTATGGAGATTTTAGATGGAAACCCTATAGTATGTAATGAAATGTTTCATATGAGAAAACATGTTGTTTTAAAATTTTGTGATAGGTTAAAAATGGAACATTTTTTACAAGATGAAAAATTATTTTCTATGGAAAAAGTAGTTGCAATGTTTTTATATATAATCGGTCAAAATGATATACAAAGAGTTACGAAAGATCAATTTCAATATTCAATTGAGACTATTTTTGTATAGCTTGAAAAAGTTTAAGTTGTTATTTGTAAATTGGGAACTAAAATTATTTATCCTAGAAATCAAGGTGAGGTTCAACAAAAAATTGCTAGAAATCCTAATTGATTCCCTTATTTCAAGGTATGTTATATATAATACTCTTTTTATATATATTTTTATTTTTTAAAAATTTAGTTTTTATGTAAAATAACATTATTTATTTATTTATTTTTAATAATTAAGAATTGTATTGGAACTATTGATGACACTAAAATATCTGCTTGGGCTCTTGCATCGAAGCAAGTATTATTTCGAAATAGAAAGCAAAATATTTCACAAAATGTAACGGTAGCTTGCTTTCATAACATGCTTTTTACATTTATGTGTACTAGATGGGAGGGAACAGCTCATGACACGAGAGTTTTTGTTAATATGATACCAAGTAATTCTATTGTACAAAATTCTTTTCCAATGCTAAGTGTTGGTATGTTTTAATTGATAATTATTTCTAAGAGCTACTTAATTGGTTAATGTTGTTTATATAATTTTCATATTTCTTATGATATTGTAGGTAAATATTATATAGCAGATGTTGGATACCCAAACATACCTAAATTTTTAGCGTCATTTCATAGATAAAGATATCATGCACGAGACTTTATAAGTAAGCATCAACCAGAGCGGAAAGTAGAATTATTACTATAAGGCATTATTTTGTTCGTAATGTGATTGAATGAAGTATTGGAGTGATAAAATAAGATTTGCCACATTGAAGGATATGCCTAGCTATCATCTTAGAAAACAACATCATATACCAAAAGCATGTTGTACCGTGCGTAATTTCATTAGGTTAGAAGTTGAAAAAAATGAATTACTTAAAGAGGATGAAAGATAACACATGCAAGAATTTGATAACACAGAAGCAACTTCTACTAGTTTGAACAATGAGCAAATTGTATTTAATATGTTACAAATAGCTAAAATAGCTCAAGTTAGAGAAGAGATTACTAAATTTTTATCGAATAATTATAGGCAAAATTGAGATTTCAAAAACTATAACAATTAAAAGGTGATGTTAGTTGTTCAATATTAAAGTACATTTTATTATTTTTTTATTAACATTATGAGTTAATTTTTATTTGAATTTTTGTGCTTATTTTAATTGCAATTTACTTTTATTATTTAATTATATTTTTTAAAAAATGTAATTTACTTAATTATTTAATTATTATTTTCATATTTTAAAAATTCACATATGAAACACATTTTTATAATTTTCATTTTTGAAAATAATTTTTCATTTTATGTACCAAACATATTTTCTTAAATTCAAAAAATTAAAAGTTAAAACTATTTTCAAAAAATAAAAATGAAAAATATTTTCATTAACTAATCACAACCCCAAGTGTTTTATTTAAATAAAATACTTTAATTTTTTTATCAAATTTTTATTTAATATATTTTATTACAAAAAATTGAAAAATAATTTAAAAATAATAGTGGGATCAATTCAAAACATGCCACATGACCTTAAAAAAAGTCACATGACATTTTTAAATTTTGAAAATTTTCACTTAAGCACATGATAATTTCACGACAGCATGATCAATATTACATCAACAATATTAATGTCCCGCCATTGATCAATGTCCAATTCAGTAGACTCAAACTGAGAAAATTAGACATTCTTATCAACTAGACCAAAATCTCAAATCTAAAAAAAATATAGATAGTGTTAATATTGAAATCATTAAAAAAAAAAAAAAAGACTAAATCTGTATTTTAATCATAGTAGAAGGACCGATGGCACAACCTGATCTAAATCAAACTAAAACACAAAAATAATTTTCTTCAACTAAATTCCCATGGAAGCTATGTTTTCTCTTCAATAATTTTATTTAAAAAAAAAAATTCATGTTGACGCACGCAACAATTACATCTTTGTTTGGTCTATTTTTTACTCTGGTCAACTCGGTGCCTTGTTGCTCATCTTCTTGAAACAGATTAAGGCCACATTAGCCTTGAGAACTACAGGTTGTGCACACTCCACGCTGAATAGCTATGCCAATCAAACAAAATTTAGCATGCGACAACTTGATAACAATTAACAAACAAAATTAGTGACAAATAAAGCCCTTCCTACTAACAGAAAGAACAGAAAATTGCTTCTCCTAAAACTCCTCCCATCCATGAGACTCCACACATTTTTTCCATCTCCCGCTTTGCCTTTCTCTTTACAATTTCATCTCTTTTTCTTGTTTGTTTTTTTCTCGTCCTTCCCACTGGGGAAAACCCCTTCAGGAACAGGAAACGGGAAGCTGCAGGAAAGGCCTTAATTTCTGTCCCTTCACCATGGCTTTTCCTTCCTTTCTGCTCCTCATTCCCCTCGTCATCTCCTTCCCTTTCTCGGAATCCAAGCTCTCCCCTGACTATTACAAAAACTCATGTCCTGGCTTGGAAAATATCATTCGAGAAGTCATCACCAGCAAGCAGATCAGCAACCCCACCACGGCCGCAGGCACCCTCCGTCTCTTCTTCCACGACTGCATGGTAGGAGGCTGTGATGCTTCCGTCCTTGTCTCCTCCAATGCCTTCAACAAGGCCGAACGTGACGCAGACATCAACCTGTCTCTTCCGGGGGATGCTTTTGATGCCATTGTACGTGCAAAGACAGCTGTCGAGTTATCTTGCCCTGAAATTGTCTCATGTGCTGACATCCTCGCCCTTGCCACACGTAACGCCATCAGCATGGTTGGGGGACCCTTCTACACCGTTAAGCTTGGTCGCAAGGACAGCTTGGTGTCTAATATCTCCAGCGTCGAAGGCAACCTGCCGAGGGCTACCACGAGCATGGATGAGATAATCAGGATGTTTGAATCCAAGAAATTCACAGTTAAAGAAATGGTTGCCCTTACTGGTGCCCATACCATTGGATTCTCTCATTGCAAAGAGTTTGCTTACAGGCTTTACAGCTACAACAAAAATACCCCTACTGATCCTAGTTATCATCCAAAGTATGCAGCGGCTCTAAAGAAAATGTGTGAAAATCATGAGAAGAATCCTACAATGTCAGCTTTCAATGATGCTCTGACTCCATCAAAGTTTGATAACATGTATTATCAGAACTTGCAGAGAGGGCTGGGACTATTGGAATCAGATAATGCACTATTGAAAAACTCCAGAACCAGGCCTTTTGTGCAATTGTATGCTTCTAACCAGACTGCGTTTTTCAATGATTTCGCTCGAGCAATGGAGAAGCTTAGCCGTTATGGGGTTAAGACTGGGAGGAAAGGAGAAGTGAGGCGGAAATGCGATGTTTTTAACTCAATTCAGACTTAGATTTTTTAATTCAGTTTCTGGGTGATGGCCATGTATGCGTGAGCATAAAAGAAGAGATTATATTTTACTATAATAATTATAATTACTATTTTCGTTTTGTGAAATGATTTATGTGAGGATGAGGATCGATGGATGGATGACTTTTAATGTTGTTGCAAATGGTGACAACGATTAATTTCTGTTTGACTAAACAATATCATGATTTATAAGAATTTGTAGTTTTAATGTTTAAGGATGTTAAGATTTGAACTAGAAAAACACTCTATAATTGCATATTGACAAGGATGTTCTGCTTCATAATGCTCGAGAGGGATTTTTTGAGTAAGAATCATTGAATCAAAAGTTTTATTCATTCTCATTGCAAAACAGTGAACAACAATTAAATTGGATTATATGAGAGAGTTTTTTTTTTTTTTTTATTTCCTCAGGGAATGGTGCGTTTTTGGGTTGTCCAAATCCATCTTAAAAGGTTATACTGCACCGCCAACAGCTGGGAAAGAGGAAGCCTTGAAGTTGATGATGATGAAACTAAGAAAGTCCGAGTTTTTCCCCTGCCTTTTTGTTCCTCTTTCGTTTTGGGGCCTAAAATATGGTAACAGAAAGCAAAATTGAAATCAAGGCCTCTATAAGAACAGCAATTCGTGCTTCCTCTGGCATTCCATTTCTAGACTAAGATTGCAGCCCTTGCCAACTTTTACTGTCACCTCCTTTCATACAAGCAATTGAGTTGCAATACCCTTTTCTTATGTACTTTTAAGAAAAAAAATTATGGAGGTTCTAAAGTTTGAAGTTGAGCTTATCTGAATACCGTTCAATACACACCAGCAAAAGATAGCATAAATGAGACTCTGATGTAAGCAAAACGTGTCCTGTCTTGCACCCGCACAAACACCCCATATCTCAATGGAAGAATAATTCTCACGCATAACATAAGAAAAGCAACATAATTATTGTTCATGAAACGGAATTTGCAGTCGATAATTGATCATCCGGCTGAAAACAATAATAATAGTTCACTCGGAAAATGTTTCCTTTCTGAAAGGAAGCTACATGGCAAGGAGGAAAAATAGAAAGAAAGCAATCAAGAAGCTTGCGAGAAAGAAAGCAATTTTATTGTATTCCCTTCATACTCCAGACTAGAGAATTTGTAAACTGATGAACGGTATTACAGAAAATTAGAAACTCCTATCATTCCCATTTCTGGAGGAGCTGTGAATTGCTGGTGGAGCAAGTCCTAACTGATTATACAGACTCTGACAATCCTTTGAAATATAAGATGGAGACCGCTTGATGACAATGTGCCTGCCGCAGGCGCCTTCCTCAATGTGATCATAGGAAGGCAAAGGAAAAGAATGACAGGATTCAGCCATGTTGCAGTATAAATTTTGGCTCTGATCAAGAGACTTGAAGTTAACTAGAAACTCCTTGAACAGTGTAAACTCAGGTACACAAGAAAAACAATTAGGAGATGGAAGAGAACAATGCTGACAGACATCACTGTGATCTTGGGAAGGTTCATCCGTGAAACTCAAGTTTGTGCTCTTTGTCTGGAGCTGCATTCTTCTCTTCTTTAGCTTCTCAGACTTATGGCCATTTTGGCGTCCCCCAAGAGCCTGTGAATTTGTAAACTTCTTGAGGCAAAACTGACATTCATACTTTCTCTTCTCCAGTTTCCTAGTCACACTTTTCTCTTTCACAGTTTTCCCCATCTGAGACACAATTTTCTCTGAAGACTTTCTCGAATCATTCACTTCTTCAGATTCCCCCAGACAGTTTTCATGCCCTTCATGAAAACTAAGCTCAAATCCAAATAACCTCAATTGCTCCTTTCCCATCTGAATTTTGCATTGAAACCATCAAATATGGCCTTTACAAGCAAGAAAAAGGCAGGAAGCAGCAATTTGTATATCTTATTCTTCCTACTCTATCATACCGAAAGTCTAAGACATCCTAGAATGCTTCTCTGATCTCTCCTATTTATAGAAAGCTGATTTGGATTAAGTGATGCAAGCTACAATCGGATTGGACTTTTTCCCCCAGATATGAACAGAAGAAAGATACCAAATAAAGTAATGGAAAATAAGAAATGAAAAAAGAAAGAAAGAAAGAAATCAGATTTAAACTCAGCAATAAAAAGTTATAATATATTCCTGCAGATATGCATCATAGCAGTCCATTTTGATTCCACTTTTTTTTATATGAAAAGTCTTAATGAACGGCAATACTTCAGCATGCAACTACATAAAAACTTGAGCATATTAAAATTCATATATGATGATAATTAAAGTGATAACATTTGGTAAGATTTAAAGCAATGCCAAAAGTCCAAAAGAGGCGAGGATGCTAACTAGGACAGCACAAACTTCCAAACCAGTTGTATCCCAAAAATATCTACATGCTTCTATGTATACACAGTATCTGCAAATTGTGACCCCCGTAGTACTGTGACTTTGGCTCCTAAACGTTACCATTTTATAACAACTATTCCAGCAACTGAAAATACAATAGTAGTTTGCGTAAGAAACAAAAAGAATAAAAAAGTGGACAATGATGTAAGCATATCTACTAAGAAAGGATAACAAAGGAGATATGAATACATCTTTTAAAATCGTGCAAACACCAAATTCTATACAAATAAGGAAACTTTATAGCAATGTTAAGTCATTTGCGACTGACTTTAGGAAAACAAAAGCCATGCATCAGATTATTGGGGAATACACTTTTAACCTTTTGGGACAAGTATAGACTATTGGATTGTGTTCTCATCCCACTCTACTTTTCTTTCACAAAGTACTACAAAATTGGTTTTTTGCTTTAGGAAGAATGCATATGCACTATGCAGGCACTATATTTATCCAGTTGGCCAAATGGTGTCCCGTCATATCATTGTTAATACTCATCTTGTTCGATGTCACCACATGCAACTTGTTTCTTGAATTTTTCTTTCTAATCCAGTGGTCCAAAATCTCAAAACCAATAATTAAGAGCAATAATTTCTTTGCTGTGCAGAGAAAAGAAAAAAAAAGTGAAGTTAATTATGGCTCTGAGATTGAAGTACAAAAATTACTTGATTTTGTTCATGCTCGAGTTCTTGCAGTAGTCACGTAGGGGACAGGAATTATCATTGGGTGCCAACTTTTTCTGGCTACTTCCTTTCATTGTACATTTGCGGCAAAGTTTACCATGTGTATACAGAAGACAGTTCAGATCAAACTTAAGTTCATTTGGGATCCTTAGGTTGAGATGAAGGTATGTCTTATTCTTGTCCGCTATAGTTGGGACCCAACCAATGGCCCTAGCAATTTCAAAGACCTGCAGAAATATTTAAGAGCTAATAAATAGTTCCATACATTGATGTCAAAGCAACCAGAGCAATCTACTACTCACATGTGTGTCAACTGGGAAATCATCTTGCTGAAGATTGAACATCAATACACAAGCCACCTGCCATGCACCAAGTATTGAGTTTTTATATGATTAAACTGGTGAACTGAATGCTGAGAATACTAAGTAATTCACAGCAAAAACCAAGAAGCTGAATCATAACTTCAACAACAGGTCACAATCCAGAAAAGTTTAAACAGATAAAATATTACATCTAAATCAGAAACCAGTATTACAAATCTTTAACATACTACCTAAACCTAGTCAGTTTGATACAAGGTCCAAAAAATACAGAGTACTGATCAAGTAACATATATGCTGAAATTCCACATCATGATCCAGTTCTCAATCTAATTCTATGAATAACATGCACACTAGCACAGATTTGTTATTGGTTAAATTTTTTTTTTAATTTATCTCTTAATTGCATATCAATAACAAGTGAATGAGCATATGAATTCATGTCAAATACAAATGAAATAATGATAGTAAAAAAGAATATTACCATATTTTGGTGATTGTGAAATTTAACTCAGATACCATGCCAAATTAAATTACTGAAGATGAAATTTATGAAAAGATATAGAAGATCTGGAAGAAAAAAGCAGGCTTGAAAATGAATGACAATGATAACAAAAACTTAATTTGAATTATATTCTACTATAGGACATTGGCAAATTCAATGAACCTCTCCATTAACATCATACTCAAATAGAACACTGATTCCTTTTTTTTTTTTTGGGATAATTGAAAAACACTGATTCATACATCAGTCCTAGCACACGCATGCAATTATGTACATGAAAGTACATATGGAATTCATCAAACATAAGCTCAAGATCCTGCAGCTTGTCAAGCAAAGAAATCTGATAGGTAGTTCAATTTTCTATGCTACGATATTTCCAATAATTTTTTCCATGGGTAGAAATCAGAATGCACTTGTAGCACTTTCAACCCTTATACTAAGCAACCAAAGAAGGCACCTAACTCTATTCTATACAACAAATTGTGAGGCATTCATACATTGAAAGAGACTTGATAACTCAACACTGACAGCTTGAATATGTCCAATCATGCGGGCATGAACTCTTGCCCTTATCATGAATACACACAAAAGTCTTCTAGACCTTTTTGAGGTTCACATTATCTTTCTAGTACTCATACATGAAATATGAGACTAAAGATACCTCTTCTTAGAGGGCTGATGCACTTAATATATTTTCATGGGACCAATGAGTTGTCATTTGGGCTTTTTTTTTTTTTGAAAGGGGGGGGGGGGGGATTTTTGGGGGTTAGAGAGATGAAGTGTAAGAAGAACCATCATTGTTGATGGGTTAGGTTCCAACCAGGGAAAAAATGAAACGGTGAATCACTGTCCATCAGGGATGAAGATGGAAGTAGCTTTTGATCCAGAGTGAGGAGAGATGCAGCAACATCTAAATCTTATGCAGGAGTGGGCTCCAAAAGCAACATTGCAGCCACCAGCATTGAAAGGTGCATATCCCTTCAAATTCTTCTGTTTTCCTTTTGCAACTAAGGACAAACTAATATATCTTGGGTTAATAACATGTTCAGATAGAGTAAATATAGTATTACATATAGTATTACACGTCAGTAAATATAGTATTACATATAGCATATTCCAGTAGGTCACACAATTAAGCATTCTGCTGGAGTACAGCTAAACTACAATGACCTTTGGTTGAGTAAAACAATCAAAGACCAAACTGTTTTTTGTTCTAGCTTGAATAATGAGATGAAACTTTGGATTTAAATAAGTGAAACTGTAATTTAGCGGCATAAAGATTCTATACAATGATGTATGGAGTGAATGATCACACAGATACAATCACGAATAGAGAAAATTTTCCCTCAAGGCTAAATATAGGTGATTGGTGATGCCAAAAAATATATTATTCTTGATTGCTTGCTGCATAAAAGGAAAAATAGACTGATTTAATGCTTGCAGGACTATATGCATTGAAACCAATGTGATCATATAAAAAGATATGCAACAAAAGCAAACTTGCCATTGATGAGAACCCGATAAATTTAATCATTGGCATACACATATACATTTATATGAAAATAAGATTATCCAAAGTGCGAGCATTCACCAATTTCCTTCAATGCTAAAAGGGAGTAAGCAGTGCTATATTTCCTTTCCTTAAGCAAAGCACTGGATTCAAATTATTTAACGTATTTATTGAAGTCCATTTGTGGAAACTTACTGTCTTAGGGCCAACCCCTTTAAAATTGGAGAGCTCAGCCTTAATTTCATTAACTGATAAATCTCGTAAGTACTCCAAGCATAGTCTGCCTTTGCTTTCGTGTAGACAACTCAATACATTCTTAATAGAAGAAGCTTTCCTCGGTGCTAAACCTCCACATCTTATTGCATTTTCCAGACTTTTTGATTCAGCGGCAAGTACCTTGAATAAAAACCAAAGTTAACAAAACATAAACCAAATCATCTCATTAAAATGTGACTCATTATACCACTCAACAAATCAAAATATTCAAACTCACCCTTCAAGACTAAATACTCCTCAATCTCACGTAACTTAAGATGCCTTTTAAGTTAAAAGAACACAATTACATAAAATTCTATTACAAAAAAAAAAAAAAAAAACCAAATATATAAGAATAAACATTAAAAAAAAAAAAAGAAAAGGAAATTCTTGTTATTAAGTGATAAACCACGAAGGCAAAAATGAAAACAAATCAATGAAAACTAACTATAAAGCTCCAAATTCATAGATACCCATGAAGCCAAAACAAGCAAAAAGAAAAAGAAAAGCCCAGAAAACTTACATCTTCCCAGGTGGGAAAAGTAGACTTTAGAGAAGCAAAAGCTTTTTGGGAATTAACCTCAGTAGTATTCTGAGAGAGCACAGTTTTCACCAGACCATCCAACACACTCTCTTCCACATCTACCCCGGCATCATTGTTAATCAATGGCTCTGATTTTGCTTCAGAGGGGGGATCATTTTTTATGAGTCTGTGATAGCGGTACTTGAGGAATTCTCGAGGGAAACCATGGAGAGCCAAGAGCTCGTCTCTTACGGTTCTGCATTCTTCAGGGGTGGGTCTATGGTGAGATGGGTATGGCTCTTCAATGGTGGTTTTGGGTGTTTTGGAGCGGCCATAGATTTCAAGCTGCTTCCTTTTGCGGGTTTTCTGCATTTTGATCTGGCAGGTGCAGGTGCAGGTGCAGGTGCAAGGGCAGGGGGGCTGGGCTGGGCTGTTGGCTCTTGGTTAAGGAGTAACGACTTAACGCGCAAAGGAACGACATGCCGTTTTGGAGGGAGTACTACTGTACTAGACACAAATAATAAATTAATTTCATTTTATATGACTAATTAAAAGCTTTTGGACTTTGGATACCCGAATCCATGCAGCAAAGGGCAATCAATTAGTATTACCGAAAAAAAAAGTTAAAAGATTAAAGTTGAAAAAAAAAAAGCAACAAATCTAATTTATCTGATTGATTCATGCATTTTATTTGATATTCAATAAATTAAAATTCAAATTACAACACATATTATCTCCTGAATGAAACTACTTTTATTGCCACCTTATGCTAAATTCTCAGGTTGTTTTTTTCCTCTTCGGCTTAGCCCACAACAACAAAAGAGAATCGAAGCAGAAACCCATAATCCTATGCTGTCAGAGATTATCGCAGGTTTTCTTTTCTATATACTCCAAAGAATTAAATCAAACATGAGATGAAAGTAGTGAAAAGTGAGTTGTGGATATCATTGTGCCATTGTGGCTAGTATTTCTCTGATTTGAAAAAGATGTTTTATCAGTCATTATGATCCAAAATGCCAATTCTAAAAACAGACTAAGACTAATACAAGTCAAACGAGGATCTTTCATAGAATTGACTTGCTCGACATTTCGAGCAAGTTAACGTCGTCCATGTAATTGTAGGACTAATGACTAGCAGATTTTTCAGTAGTTGACAGCCCAATACACAAAGAGCAAGACTTCACTGTGAGCCGCCCAACTGGTACTGAACCGTTGGTCATAACCTCTGTTTTTATTGGATGATGATGAACCCAGTACCACGGCAAACTATCCTAAAGTTAGAGCTACAAACATCGACAAAATCACCTTGCTGCAACTGATATGATGTTTGATTTTCATTCTTGTAGTGAGCAATGCATCATTTCAGATTAGTAGAATGCCTGAAGCTCCAATGCATAAATCTTCTCCTAGTCTGTTGATAATTGACACAACTGTATATAAACTGATTTCTTGTTTTCCCAAAATTGAAAGAGAATCAGATAAAGGATGAAAAGAAAAATAAAGAGATTACGGTTTTTCTGGAAGAGTCCCATTCTTTTTCATGGACACATGCTACAGTCCCCACATTCAAACAAATTATTGCCATGAAAAAGGCCAAAATTAATTATTAAAAAACCAAAAATGTTTCACTTCCAACCCAACAAGAGAAACGCCCAAATGGCTAAAATCCAATTACTTACAAAACAATTCAGTTATCTTCACTTGGTGCCATGTTTGGCAGGAAATATTCATTATTGAGTATCAAAGTCTTATCTCCTTTTAATCATTATTATAATTATAATTAAAAAAATAAATTTTTCATAAAAATTTTTATTTAATAAATTTCTCTAAAATTAACATTTGAATTCATTTAATAATGTGATAAACTTAATCATACAACACCAAAAATTGGATGAAATCTGAACCTTGCCTTAATGTTTGAACAGGAAAAGAAATTTTCTAACGAGCCACCAACACAAAAAAAAAAAAAAAAAAGAAATCCTAACTCACCACATAAAATTGATTTTTCTTTACAGCAAAAGGATTTTCACTGACATATTTCATAAACATTTTCCTTTAAATACAAAAATCCAATATAATCTAAAAACCTAAAACCCCACCAGAAATTTTATCTGTACACATTCACATCCCAAATCATCGATAAGAACCCTTTTCTCACCTTATCAAAAAAAAAAAAAAAAAGAAGAGAAAAACCTTTTCTCACTAAAGTAAAAGTAAATGTCAGAAAAAATTACATTTACAAAAGCCACAAGAAGTCAAAAACTACTAAAACATAGTTGAATTCGCACCAAAAACATCTCTACCAACTCGGTGCCGAGTCCGACTGAGTCCACCTGACTCCAAAGCTACTTCCCAATCAATCTCCTCATCTTCCTCCTCTCTTCCTCTCATCATCTGCAAAATTCTTTTCGCTTTCTCTTTGGCCCTTTCGCTCCCTCGCTCTTCCACTTCCCTTAAAACCTCCACGGCTCTCGCTTCTTTTGCCAGTCCCTTGAACCTCATGCTACCATGACTCAGCGCAAACAACGCGGCAACGCAGTTCTCCCGAGTAGCCTCGGATACCAACTCTCTTTCCCTCAACATTCCCACCAATATCGCTACCGCATTGGCGTCCAGCATCGCTGACTTCCCCTCCGTGCACGCAGCTAAATTACACAGTATAAGTAACACCCGACTCGCCAAATCCCCTGATTTCACCATCAGTAACAGAGTCGAAACAGCGCCGAGCTTCACTAATTTAACTCGATTTGACTGAATCAAAGAAAGATGGTAAAGAGCGAGTGCCGAATCGTGCTGAGTACGCTCGGAGTCCGATCTCAGCGCGTGAAGCAACGGTTGCAACGCGCCCAAAACCCCAATCGCCATCTTACTTTCATCTTCTAAAGCTAAACTGAAAAGCGCACCAGCAGCATGCTCCTGCGCCTCACTGGATCCCGCCTTCAAAGCATCGATCAAAAGAGGAACAAATCCTGACCGTACGATCATAACCTTGTTCGATTTTTCCAAGGAAAGATTAACGAGCGAAGCAATGGCGTTGGTTTGAACAACGCTGTATCTGGAAATGATCAAACATCGGAGAGTTGAGAGTAGCCGAGGAGAACAAAGAGAAACCCTAGCCTCTTCTTTAGTCCTCGTGATTCTCCTTAACGAAATCAAACCTGATTCTTGCTCGGAAATATCAGAACTTTTAAGCTTTAAAAAAAGCTCTTGTTCTTCCCGCGAAGAAGAAGATTGGGAATTAGGGATTAGGGTTTCAGATTCGGTGATTTCAATAGAAGAATATGAAGAACCGGAATTTGAGAAACACGCGGGGCGGGTGGCTAGTGGCAACGGCGTGTGGGGACTACTGGCTGTTACGATAACAGATTCATCGGAAGAGGACGAGGACGAGGTGGAGCAGAATAAGTTGTTGACACGTGGACCTAATTCGGTGGCCGCGTGGGAGAATAAAACAGGCGGGTTTTCAGCGACTGCTTTCAAAAGTTCACGTTCCGAGACCCGAATATCGGGGGCGGAAGAAAGTCTGGATGGACTCTGCTGTTGAACCTTGGAGCGGACGATTTTCTCGACGGAGGTGTAATCGGGCGGGGTAGGGTCTTGAGTTTGGTGGTCGCGACACCATGTGAGTATGGTAGTTTTTATGGCGAGGTTAGGGATGATGGTGGAGAAGTCGGGGGTTGAGCCGTCTGGAAGAGTAGGGGTGAAGCGGAGGTCGCGGCAGACTTGGATGGAGGTTCGTTCGAATGATTGACCCGAGGTGACTACAACGGGATCGAACATCAAAGAGCCAGAAATTGGGCAGAGGAATTCCAGTGGAGGTTGGGTCTTGGGATGCTTCGGAGATGATGAACTCGAACGATGGTAAAATAAAATTTTCCATCTGTGCTTTCCATTTCCTCCCATAACTAAAAGAAGAAAGCTAAAATTAGTTTAATTTTTGTGAGGCTGTAATAGCAGAGGTGAAGAAGGAGAGGATGTGAGCTGGGAGGATGAGCAGAAGCAGAAGCAGAAGCAGAGAGCTATTAAGCCTGCTATGCTGCTTTTCTTGGAAGGAATAGCCTGGGTATGTGGGGAAAATTACATAATTGGCCTTTTTTTGGTGGACTTGCTTTGGGTGATTGGAGGTTTGTTATTTTTATGCATTGGGTCAAGGTATAGCAAAGTTGACTGGTCATTAAATGAGACGACGTTGTTGGGAATGGAATTACATCAATTATGACATGTCTTTGTTTTAATAATAATCAATCATATGACATATTCAGCTGATTTACTTGAAGCTAGTTTTACATCGTCGTGGTTAAAATTTTGAGATACAAAATTACGTTTAAAAATCATAATAAAAATAATATAATTAAATTTTTACTTGTTTATTGATATAAAAATGTAAAAAGAGTAGTTGAAATGTTTAAAAAGATAAACATAAAATAACAAAATATTAAAAATATCAAAAATATAATTTTTTATTGTAAAATTACTTTTTCATCTAAAAGTACCTTTTGAGTTTTTTTTTTTTGTTTGAGTTATAAAATCATACTTTTAAATTGAAAATTTTATTATTTAAAATTGAGTTTTAGTTAAAAATAACTCTTGATCGCAAAAATTACTTTCATTAACAATGTGAAACTGACGTAAATTTGTTATTGGATTTTGTATAAAATTTAATTCATGTACAAAAATTAAATAAGCAAAACAAAAGAATGGACTAATAAATATTTAATTTGTTATTGGATTTAGTATAAAATTTTTAAATATAAATGATAAATGTAAAAAAGGTTTGACATTATTAGAGATAGATCAATCCATTTTTTAGAAACTTTGTGTTTAAATTCTTAATCCATAAGTTATCCTCAAATAGGTTAACTTTTCAAAATTTTAATATTAAAGGGGCATTTGATTCAATAAAAAGTTAGATTATCTCTGAAATCTTATTTTTTGTAATCTAATACTCATGTGTGGTTCATGGTATCTTATTCTTAAGGGTATTTTAAGATTTCTTACAGTGTCCAAATATCCAAAAATTAGAAACCAACCTCTCGTTGTGGTTTTTAAGATTTCGAGTGAAAAATTAAATTTTTTTCACATTTGACCTCAATAATAATTTTTTTGTTACATTTTACTTTTGAAAATTAATATAATTGCATGATAAATGATGACTTATTCTGACACAAAAATAGACATTCATAACCACACAATTAGGCAAAGATACAATCGTAGCCACACAATTGGAACCTAGCACATGATTGGACACCTAGTATATTACATATAATAAAAACAATGTTTTTAAAAGAGCAAACGTAGTAGATAACAACAATTTTATGTTTTTGAATTTTTTTATTTTAAAAAATATCTCATCTTTTATATTTGAAACGTAGTAGATCATAAAATAATAATAAAATAAAATAGATATTTTCATATCGATAACTTTTTTTATGGGAAAAATGTAGAAATTGATATAATATTAAAAAAATATTTATGATACTTAAAAACATCATGTTTATTAGTTTTAAAATGTGATTGATAATCTATTAAAGACTGCATTTTTTTTTTATTTCAAAACATGGTTGATAATGAATAAAAAAGTTATATTTCAAAAATTATTTTAATTATATTTTTTATATCATAAACGTAGTATTTGAACTACGAAGACCATATTTTTACTATAGAAAATGTGATTGATAATCACTCAAATGCCACATTTTTTGCTTTCAAAACATAGTCTTTGAATACATTACAAAGACCATATTTTTTACATAAAAAACATGGTTGATAATCATTCAAATATCACTTTTTTACTTTCAAAATGTGATTGATAATGAATAAAAAATAATATAATAAACTTACATTTGAACAGATATAACCTACTTTCTCTTTTCAAATAACATTGTAGAACTCTAATCAAACCCCTTTTTTTTTCTGTTTCACACGACATCAACTTCAACCATTGTGATTTCATTTTCGTGCGGTTTAGTTTAGCTTATCTTTATCAATATACGGTCAACTATTTTTGTTTTGTATGATCTATTCTACATTATTTACATTAAATTAGATGTCTTCTTGTTATATTAGTAGATTTAGGTTAAATCTTGATTGAAAATTTATTGATCTATTATATGTGTTCTTACTATTGATTTTTTGTTCTTAATCCACAAATGTTTAGTTGCTGTTTTTTTATCTAATAAAATGTTCCCTTGCTATTTGTTTTTCATTTGATGTGACTTAGATCTTGATATACTAAATGCATATTCTTTTCTTTTGATACATATTTTCAACATTAAAAAAGTTTTTCTTATAAGTAGTTATAGCTTGTTTATCAATAAAAAAAAGCTACAATTGGTAACAATGATTATTTCGTAAATGAACCAGATGGAGAGTATGTTTCAACTATTACTTATTGTTGCTGTGACATTAGTTACAATGAAACTTAGAAAAACACATAGAATATCTTACGCTGATAAAACTCATGATAGGCTTCAAATTAGGTCATTGAACTTAAATAAATTAGTCTTTGAGAATGATAAAAAGAATGTGAATAATTGTAGAGTGAATAAGAGAGTTTTTGCCAAATTATGCCAATTGCTTCAAACACAAACGAGATTAAAAGCATCTAGAAATGTGTCAATAGAAGAAATGATTATTAGCTTCCTCTACATCATTATTCATCATACAAAAAATAGGATTATGAAGCGTTAAGTTATCAAATCTAAAGAGATAATTAGTAGATAATTTCGTATTGTGCTAAATTCTACTATATTCCTTGTTATTTAAAAAACTAGAACCAATACTAGAGAATTCAATAGATAATAAATAGAAATGATTTAAGGTAATACATTAATCATTACTTACTCTGAATAAATATTAAATTTAAATTTTGTACAATGTATTAATCAAAGTTGTTGGGTTTAGGGTTGTTAAGTGCTTTAGATGAAACATTTACAAGGGTGAATGTAGACTCAGTTAACAGGCTAAGGTACAAGACTATAAAAAATAAAATTACTACCAATGTTTTTGATATTTGCACACTAGACATATAATTCATTTATATTCTATCAGGATGGGAAGGTTCTACAGTAGATGGCAAATAACCCAGAGATGCCATTACACGTAGAAATGGTTTAAGGGTCCCGTAAGGTATTAGCTTTAAATATTTTGATTTTAGTTTTACATGAAACATGTTTTAAAATGTATATTAATATTGTGACAATGGAATAGGTTTTTGCAATTTCTATGATGCTGGATACACAAATGGAGAAGGTCTTTTAGCACTTCATAGAGGTCAAAGATATCACTTGAATGATAGGAGGTTAAGATACTAACATACAACACCTCAATAATACTTCAATATGAAACACTCTAAAGTAAGAAATTGTATCAAGAGATGTTTTTGTATATTAAAAGCTAGTTAAGCAATTTTAAGAGAGAAATCATTTTATCTAATTAAAACACAATGTATAATTATTTTTGCTTGCTGCCTTTTTCATAATTTTATTAAGTTTAAGATGATAATTGATCCTATTAAAGGTGATACTATTGAAGTGGGTAATAGCCAAGCAGCAAAATATGAGCATCAAGATTTAATTAGGTACATTAAACTAAGTGATGTTTGGATTGAGTTTAGAGACAACCTGAGTAAGAGATGTTCACAAATTGATTGTAATCCAATGGTTAAGGATATTATTTTATTTTTTTAGTTTAATTGCTGACATTGACATGTGTACGATATGGTTGAGTGTACTATTTAGTTTTTATATTTGTTTTATATTTATTTTTCTATTTTTTAGTGTATGATGTAGTTAACTATTATTTGTAATGATATTTATTTTATTACCATGTTTATCGGTTTTATTTATGCACTAATTATTGTTTCATGTTTATTGATTGTTGATTTGATATGCATTGGTTGCATAATATCTAACTATATGATTAGGATATCAAAATGTCATCATATGGTGCCAATATAAGAAGTGCATCTTTAAGAAGAAAACAAACCTCATCAGTAAATAATCATACTTGGAAAAAGGTTGAATATGCGATACTAGTCTAATACTTACATGTTTTGGCTAATGATCATCGATGAAAAGCTGACAATGAAATATTCAGAGTTGATAATCTAAGATATCTAAAAAGCATGTTAGGGGCCAAAATTCTTTGAGCACAACCAAAAGCAAACTTATACAGGTCAAGAGTAAAGTTACTGAAAAGATAATATCATGCTATTTGTTATATGATAGCCAATGTAGGTGGATTTGGTTGGAACAAAAAAGACAAATGTGTAACTACTAACAGGGATGCTTTTGATTGGTAGGCTACACTAAGTAGTTAAATAATGTAAAAGTTACTTTGATTGTTGATTTTTTATCAAAATATTTTATGTATATTTAATTTAACTTATGTGTAGACTTATTCTCATGCTGGAAGGTTAAAAAACAACATTTTTCTCACTTTAATGACTTTAAAATTATTTTTAGATTCAACAAAGCTATTAGTCAAAGAGTTAAAATAGTAGTTGATGTAATGAAATCATTTAATACTAATGATAATACTAACTTTGGCTATAATAAGAATGAAGCCGACATTAATCAGGAGGGAGAGATTATAGAATGATAAAATTGAAGATTTAGCTTGTGCAATAACCCCGACAATAAGTAAAACGCTATCAGGTAAGAAGTATTCTAAGAGCAATGATGGATTAACTGAATTGGTTGAGCAAATTAGTAATATCGAGGCTACATATTGTGTGATAGCATAAAAATCAAGGGCATTTCATTTTACTTCAAGAAAAGAAGCTGAAGACAGTGATAGGTGAATGTCGTTCTTTACCAAAATCATGCAACTAAATGATTTCTCTCAAGATGAAATGCTTTTTGCTAGTAAGTATATATCAAGGAATACTCACAAATTTGATTTTTTTTGCCCTACTACATGAATTTAAAAGAGTTACATACGAAAGTAATTAAATGAATGTAATGCTTATCGACTATTATTTGACTTTCCTCTTCCAAGATACATGTAATTAATTTGTTTTATTGACATCGTATTTGTTTTGTATTGTTAAGATATTATAATTACATTTTTTAACTTATAGATGTAGTTTACAGTTGAAATATTAT